TTACTAACAATTTAAATTTTTTATTGAGAATTAGAGGTTTCAAGACTTGCATAGAAATATTTCTTTTATTACAGACATTCCACTTCACAGCACAAATAAATTTAACTGGGTCCATTTTTCAGATAAATATGTATGACAATAAGAATAAAACTTTTTATTTTTTCTGCAGGAAACTAAATTAAAAGAGAAATAATGTGAAATAAATAAATAGAAATAAAGCTGTGTTAAAACTAATGGCTGATCACTTAGGACTTGGAAGTAGGGTGTGAAATTAACCCCATATTGTACATAATGATAGCCTAAATCTTTACAGCCAATCGAAACAAAGCCAAATATCTATGCTCTACATCCATAAAGGCTGTCAGCTGCACATGCAGGGCATGATTTTTATGTAAAGGCACTTTAGAGTAATGAAATAATTATGTTGTTTGCTCAGTGAGAAAAAAAATTCAAAGAAAAAAGTAGATTATAATCCCCTGCGGTCAGGATGACACCACCGTTAAAGAAAACTCCTTAAAATCATTTACGTGATCTCTCACAGCCCAACTTTATTTTCTGCTGTGGACACATGGAAAAGCTTGATGTAACTAATTTCAGAAAACATAATTTTAAGTAGCTCTTTGGAGTTACTTGTGCAAATTTTACTGGGCTAACAATTCAAGTAAGGTGAATGAAATGAACCCGTCACACCCGGGAATAAAAATCTGCCCTCATAGAATGAGACTCTACAGTCACTCACGTAAGCCAGCACACTCAGCTGGAGGTTCTGGATTACAGCAGGACTAACAGGACAGCATTAACCGCTGCCCTACAACTTGTGGGGAGGAAAAGGCTGAGGGATCTGCTGTTCCTCCCAGTGCTTTCGTTTTACTCTTTCACGTTGGAGTGAGGACCAGACAGCTCCCAGCACCCCCTGTGCAGCTGTTTTCAGCCTCACTTAGGCTTGTCCCCTCCCCTTGCAAAGCCCAAGAACGTGAACGAGTGTCCTGGCCCTGTCCAGGGAGGAAGCTTACCCTCCCCTCTCTCTGGCCTTGATATTTAAATGAAAAAACACAGGTAACTAGGTTGGGAAATAAAAAGGCAATAATAGCTTGAGGAATAAAATGATGAAAACTGCTATTTTCTTCTGTAAGACATAAAAGACAATAAGCAGAAGAGAAACACATTCTCAGAAATCAGGCTTTCCTTTTAATGCTCTATTAAGAATCAGTAGTTTTAAGAGTTCTTACCTGTGCCTGGAGCAATGTTCAACAGGATGGAAGAAAAGGAAGACAAAGAAAAATGAGTATGTGTCAATATATCACGAGAACACAAGGAAGTTTCAAGCATGGTTTTCTATACAAAGACTTATTTCTTATAAAGGATTAGAACATTGTTACACTTTAGAAGAAGAAAATCAACTGCTTCCTATGGCTAAAAGTAAAACACAAGAATGGTATTTCAAACAGCTCAGCCAAGCAGAAGCTTAGAGAATAGGATGAAGAAATCCCAGGAAACTGAGCCGACCACTCGGTGCTGATCAGGGAAACTTGATAGCCGACAACTGTGATCCAAACTTTAAGTGGATTTTTATCTCTATACTGATCGATCTGTGGATTGATCCATCCACTGACTGATTCATCTTCATCACTTGCGCTATCTCTTCAGGAGAAAATATGGCTTTGCTCCTTAATTGGAAGACAGACCTCATCATATTTAGGACAATGGATTCTTTTATTTGAAGAATGCGTAACTGTAATAAAAGTTCATACAATGTGCAATTTTTATGTCAGTATAAAATTGCACTTATTCTTTGCTTTTCCTAAGTATTTTACTACCATATAAATCCCTAAAATTTCTGTTCTTATGTAGAACATTTTTGCTCCAAGTTAAATGTTTTGCTCTCCTTGGGTAAGAAGAACATTTATGATCTTCGCCCCCATGTACAGATCTCTTCTCAGGAATGTGAAGCTATTATTCTCATTATTAGAGTTTATAGAACATCACTCTAACCTGTCCACATTATATTTGTACCACTTTAAAAACAGCAGCTGTTTTATTTTATTCTTGTTAGTTCAAGGTTAGTTTTCTGATTTTACTTTTTGAGATCGAATCAAATTTATTTATAGGCAGCAATTTCTTGACATCCTCCCCCAACCCCTAAAAAATTTTATATCTTAAATGATAAACTTTTCTCATACATTCAGCTAACTTTATACTGAAAAAGCAAAACAATGATGGAGACGGAATAAGCTCAGCTGAGTTCCTACCCCCTGCTTTGCAGGGCTTACATAAAATAAATCATCTGCTATCAAGTTTCAATGGTAATTTGTTGACATGTAAATATGAATGCTATACACTTAATCCACTGCAATTTCCTTCTGTCTCTTTAATCTGTAATTAAAACATCACCATAAGGACAAGCTGCTGTTTACCTTTTTCTTCAACTACTGAAAAATCTCTTATTTCATGTAGTAGCCTCATATTTCTTTTAGCTATTTATCTTCAGTGTACTTCCAGCAAGCTGAGAAACAGTACATAAACATCCCTATCAAATTCTGCGCAAATGGGAGGTAATTAGTTTTAGGGTACAAATTTTCATAGCAAAGACAACTTTGCAAAAGGTCCTGGAACTTGGGAATTCATTGTTAAAGAAAATCCTGAGGTCAGCATGGCTCATTTAAACTGTGGCTAAGAGTATCTTACACAAAGACACATCTACAGTAGAAGGAAGTGAGTATGAGTTGAGAGGAATTTTTATTTATTAGCCCTGGGTCATATCTTACTAACAATTTAAATTTTATATTGAGAATTGGAGGTTTCAAGACTTGCATAGAAATATTTCTTTTATTACAGACATTCCACTTCAGTTATTTGATGGCGTATTTGAGTAATTAGAGGCACAGAATTGAATTTTCTTCTTCGGGATAACTGGTTTCAGAAATGTAAAATGCTCCCTGACAAGAAAGCCTGGTCACCAGCAGGTGGCAGCAGGGATGTACGCCATTCGTCCCAGCCGCATTTGAAGGAGCGAGCGAGCAACTTCGGACAACATAAACCATCTGGAAGCCACCGTCCATAAAGCAAATACTGTGAAATTCATACCATTTTGTTAAGTGAAATTCTGTATCACTTTCTGCTTTAATACTATTTTGTGCTCACTTTTAAAACTAAAAATTAAAAAAATAATTGCTCGAGAATTCAATTCTCTAGTCATCCTTTATTTTTTATTTTATTTTATTTTGGTGGAACCAGGGACTGAACTCAGGCCCTTGCACTTGCCAGGGAAGTGCTTATTCCCCTGAGCCATCTCCCCGGCCCCCATCTTTTATTTATTGCAAATTGATTTATGCTTTCTCTAGAGTGTGCTCTTGTTGTTCTGACTAAATTTGGTTTAATTTTGGAAGGAAACGTGCACTGGCCAGCAGCATTTGGAGATCCAAACTGCAGAACTGAGCATTTCTCTGTATTTGGTGATTGTGCATTTGATTGGAACTTCAATTCATACCTCCGCACAGACTACCTGAAATTCATTCTTTGCTAATTCTGAGGTAGGTAAAGCACGATAATTGACTGATAAACACATCACACTTGAATTCGTCAGTTCTCCATTCATCTTCCTACTGTCTGTCTCCCACGGATTGCACGTAATGGCTATTGACCACAGTTATTGAGTCACTCTTCCAAGCTCTAACAAAGGCCCAGACAAAACTGAAAGGTTCCAGCGACTCAGCCGTGTACTCCACCATTTTTCTCTCCTTTGACATACACTCACGTTTATGCACAAGGAGTGTACGGATCTCTGAAGATTTCAGAGATAGTCCGTTCAATTTGAGGTTTTAACACACACGTAATGTACTCAGATATTCTGAACATAAGACAAATTACATTTCCTGCTCAAGAGCGTTTATTTACTGTTCTCTATTTTTGAGAAATAATAACGCCATGTGGATGTCCACAACACTTTCACTCTCTCAGGGTTGAGAAGATACCTGGTTGACATGGTCTAGTTTGGGGCAGGGCCTTCCTCCGTTGTACGGTTTCTCACGCAGCCATTTGGATCGAACCTTCACGCCGCTGCCGCAGGACTTGCTGCAGCGGGACCAGTTGGACCACTCGCTGAGCTTGCAGTCGGAGGGACAGGGGATGATGCAGGCCTCCTCGATGTAACCTGAGCGGAGGGGAAGGAGACAAGAGCCACGTCCTCCGTGTGTCCTTCGCTCCCGCCACCCGCACTCCAGCTCATTCCCAAGGTCCGAGTTTCACTTGACAGCCGCATGCAGATGCAGAGGTGTCTAGCTGTTAGGGACTCAAATTAAATTCTGCAGGAAAATGACACATACATAGAGGGACGCTGTTCAAATAACAGAGCAGCTGCTTAGGATTCGTGCTCAGCAGATTTCAACATTTCTGATTTTCTGACAGCTCGTGTTTAATTGACAATCACCTGTCTGCTGCCATATCATTCTCAGGCTGCCAGAATGTGTACAACAAAATCATATATATATATATATATATATATATATATATATATATATATATCTGCCTGCTCATGTGACACAAGGACTCCAAGGTTTTGGACTCTGTTGAACTTTCCTCCCCAGGAAGGAAACCCAGTCTCCCTCAATCAATATCCACAAAAACCATTTAGCTTAGCTCCTTATGTTTCCCCTTCTTTGAAAAATCAAATCTGAAGAACAAAAATGAAGGAAGTTAAATAAACAACGCCCTGTAGTTTCAGAGAGCTTTCAATTTCAGAGAATCTTCACTTCTATCTAGTTCTCTTTAGAATCCTAGCAATGTATTGTGCTGGGGATATTTGGCAGTCAGAAAATAAAACAAAAGGATCAAGCTCACAAAGGGAGGGATGAGAGAAGTCTGAGGTCTGTGACTGACTGCCTCAAATGACACACCAGTTAAGTTAACACTCTGCTGATTGGTTTGAGGAAGCAGAAACATTTCCTTTTCTTTTTTCTTTTTCCTTTTTCTTTTAAATGTTTAAAAAGTATTTGGCACAGGGTGTCACTAGGCAGCTCAGACTCATAGTGATCCTCCTGTTTCAGCCTCCCCAGCACTGAGATTACAGGCATGCACCACCACACCCGATCTCAGTAGCTGGCTCAGTGTGCCTGGGGCAGGGCCAGCATGGCATGTGATTCTGGGGCTCGAACCCGGGTCTCTGCACTTGCCTAGGCGCGTGCTCAGCCTGCTGAGCTATATCACCGGCCTGAGGAAACATTTTCCATGAATAGCCCTTCAGTGCTAATTTGTTATGTCACAATATCAAATTATTCCTGTTTTTCAAGCAAATACATGGTGAAAATTTGCTGTGGACAATTATAGAGATAGGTCATTTCTTGCATGAGAAAACAGTCCAACTTCTTATTATATGTCAAGAGTAGAGATTCAATTTTAAAATAATTATACTATACAAATTTATACTATGGAATTCCAGGCAGATTGCTATTACAAAGAATCAACAAATGGGATCTCTCCTCATGAAAAAGCTTTTGCACAACAAAAGAAATCACCAACTAAGTGAAAAAACAACCCATGGAGTGGGGAAAAGTTATACCCAGCTGTCCCTCAGACAAAGGACTTCTATCTAAAGCATATAAAGAACTGAAAAAAATCAGAGTGCCCAAATTTAAAGACCCAATCCAAAAATGGGCATTTGAGATGAATATACATTTCTCAGAGGAAGAAATACAAGTGTCAAATTAATATGTGAAAAAAATACTCAACATCATTGGTCATTCAAGAGATGCAAATGAAAACAATACTAACATTCTGTCTCCCTCAGAAAGAATGGCTATCATCAAGAAGTCAACGAATAACAAATGCTAGCAGAGCTGTGGGGAAAAGGGGCCCTTTTCCACTGTTGGTGGGAGAGTAGGCTGGGGCAACCAATGTGGAAATCAGTGTGGAGATTCCTTAAACTATGATTTAAGGTCCCATTTGACCCAGCTATTCCCCTTCTGGTTATCTTCACAAAAGAATTCAACACATCCCACCACAGTGATATTTGTGCACCCATGTTTATAACAGCACAGTTTGTAACAGCTAAACCTTGGAAACAACCCAAATGCCCACAGACCAAGGAATGCATAAAGAAGATATGATTTCTTTACAATATGGACTACTACTCAGCCATAAAGAAGGATAAACTGGAGACTTCTGTAGGTAAACAGATGCAACTCGAGGCCAGATTCATAAGTGAAATAAACACCGATGCAGTCCATTAAACCTGTTCAGGTTTCAACAGTTTTACTTGTTCTCGTGTGTGTGTGTGTGTGTGTGTGTGTGTGTGTGTGTGTGTGTGAATGTGTAGAAGTGAAGTTGTGCAGCATTGTTTTAACACACAGGTAGAAAAAATAAAATCTGAAAGAGAAACAGATTTGTGATGTATTTTTCTATATATTATGTGGTATGCGCTGTTTTATTTTTAGTTTTTAAATTTTTAAATTTTTTTAAATTTTTGTTTTTGGATACAGGGTCCTGCTACACAGTTCAGACTTGCAGTGATCCTCCTGTCTCAGCCCCCCAGTGCTGGGATTACAGGCACGCACCACCATGCCTGGTTCTGGGGCCAGCTCTGCATTTTAGGTTGGCATTTACTTAAAACCCCCTTTTTTGTTTGCTTACACTATATCCAGCCAATAAATTTGTTTCACATATTCCCAGATGTCCTCTGAAAAGACTTCTTATTGGACCAATAATAATTTTTAATTATAATGATTTAATAAGTGGGATCCAACTGTAAAAATGTCTTTCATTACTTCTGAAATCAGTGCATTCCTGTGACCAAATAATTAAAAAGAAATGTAAAAGTATGATGAATTTCAAAAACAATACCAGTAATTTCAAAATATTATCAAATATTTGGTTTTGGCAAAGGACATAGTACTACAAATGTTATTGGAACGTCTCTTGAAACACAGCACATTTGTCCACCTTTATGGAAAAATGATGTCCAAAGTAAATGACGAGGGCTGGCGAGATAGCTCAGCAGTCTAAAGCACCTACGTAGGTAAGCTTGGGCAAGCCTAGGGACTGTGGTCTAATCCCTGGCACCACATGCAGCACCTGCCCCGCCCCCAGGGCGTGCTGAGCTGGCCCCCCAAATGAATAAATAAATAAATAAATAAATAAATAGCTCTTTTATTATTCAGTGATTATAAATGGAAAAGAAAGCACAATGTTTTTCATATCACTACTTCATAGAGTAACAATCAGTGTTTCTTTCCATGAAATCTAGCAGACATAACTTCAGACTGATCACATTACTATGGAAGAAAGCTTAAACCTTATTCTTGATTTTCCGAGAGCCTGCTGCAGAAAACACTTCTCAGGTTAAATTCTATCTGTGAAATTGGCAAAAGATGGAAATCAGGGACCGTTATAGTGTGTGTCTAGTTGTGCCCTCAAAGTGTCATGCAGTCACTGGGGCAGCTTCTGGAGTTTGTGATTAATTCACTATCCAGTGCTGGGATTATGGGTGTGAGCGCTACACCTACCACACTGGGGTAGGTAGCCTGAACGCAAAAGAAGGGAGGGAGGCAGGCTTGCTAGCTGCTGCAGCCACTGCTCTTCTCTTTGGCTTCTGCTGTTTTGCTGTTTTCCGCCTCCAGGAACGGCTGCCCTCTGCCATGTGCCGCTCTGCCTTGGAGCCAGCCGAATATGGACTGAAACCTCCACTAACTGTGAGCTAAATACACTTTCCCTTCCTTGATTTTGGGCGTTGGATATTTCATCCCAGCAATGAGAGAAAAGTCACCGAGACAGGGACTGAGATGAAACAAAACAGCATATTGCTTAAGATCTCATGTTTTATTTTCTGGTGTGTAACAACATTCAATAATTGCCTGTTATGTTTATCTAGCATCATTAAAATCCTTAACACTACTAGAGAACTGCTAGATAAGCATCCCCTGATTTCCTGGCTAAGATCATCTTTGAGGCCAATTAACACCATGCATGGAGCATTGGAAAAGAAACATTTGGAGTATTTTAAGGCTAAATAAACTGGCATCCTACAACAATGCATGACTTTTGCAGAATGGTGGAGTAAAATGAACGGCTGCACAATTAGGAGGTTAAAATTTTTAGCAGTTCAGTAATGAGCCTGACATTTGAGAAAATCAAAGTCTTGACTTCCAATCAGATTTTCTGTATACTGCTTCAAGTTGAAACAAATATAAAACACAAGAAAGCTTAAAGTGTAGCCAGAGGACATGCTACCTTTGAGATACAGGCAATCACCTCATTCAATTGAATTTTGAATTTTCAGATGAAGAGGCTTTCAATAATCTTTATAATTAATTTTTCTGTTAAAAGGTGCATTAGGGCTGGGGAGATAGCTCAGTAAAACAAGCATTTGCCCCCCAAGCACAGGGGCCTGACATCAATCCCCAGTTCCGAAAAAAGAAAAGGTATTTGGGCTGGTCACATAACTCAGTGGATTAAAGTACCTGCATGCAGGCATAGGGGTTGGCGGAGTTTAATCCCCACCCCTGACCTTGGGGCACGCTGAGATGGCAATTGAGGCTGGGTGTGGTGGCAAGTGCCTGTAATCCCAGATCTTGGGAGGCTGTAAACAGGTGGATCACTATGAGTTGATCTATTAGTGAGACCCTGAACACCCTGTAGACCCTTCCCTAAAATACAAAAAAAAAAAAAAAAAAAAGAAAGAAAGAAAAAAAGAAAGAAAGAAAGAAAAGAAAAGAAAAAGAAAAAGAAAGGTGCACTGTGAGTGATTAAAGAATTTATTTTGAAATGCACATGGAAATATTGGATTATATATACCTTTCTAAATGAGTGACTTTGGCACACTGTCTGAATCATCTGGATTAATCTCAAAAGCAAATTCAAAAATCTCTCCTTTTGGGTCACCGAGATAGCTAAGAGGACCAAGTGTTTGCTTAGGTAAGTGCAAGGGCCAAGGTTCAATCCCTGGCACTGCATGCCACACCAGCTGCACCCACAGCACACTGAACCTTTGATGGACTCTGTGTGTGGTGGTGCACACCTGTAATCCCAGCACTAGGGAGTCAGAAATCAGGAGGATCACTATGAGTCCACGCTATATAGTGAGATCCTGCTCATGAAGAAAAACAGCTCTCCTTTTGTTAAATGTTTATTAAATACACATAGCTGCAAAGAGGAACAACA